TGTATGACCTTGGACAAATTACACTATTTCCACATACCCTTATTTCCTCATGTTTAAAATGAGAATGAGGCCGGGCAGAGTGACTCACGCCTGTAATCGCAACACTTTGGGAGGCCAAGCCAAGAGGACTGCGTGAACCCAGGAGTTCAAGACCAACCTGGGCAACACGGTGAGACCCCATCTATACAAAATGTAAAAAATTAGCCAGGCAAGGTGGCATATGCCTGTAGTCCTAGCTAATTAGACTTGGGAGGCTGAGGTGGGAGGATCCCTTGAGCCCAAAGTGGCTGCAGTGAGTTGCAATTATGCCACTGCACTCCCACATGGGTGACAGGAGTGGGACTCGGTCTCAAAAAAAAAAAAAAAAAAAAGGATAAAAACAAACTGATGTAGAGTTGTTATAGAGACAGAATAAATTAACACAAGCAATTAGAAGCACAAATATGCAATTGGTTAGTAATGACGGAAGACACGGGCATACAAGCATGCTCTCTTGTGAATGCTAATCCATCTGCCTAGGGGACTTTGTATGACAGTCTCAGGAAAGCTTCCTTGGCCAGCCTAAATGGATAAGCTTCTTCTTTTTTTTTTTTTTTCTTTCTTTTTCTTTGAGATGGAGTCTTGCTCTGTCGCCCAGGCTGGAGTGCAGTGGCGTGATCTCAGTTCACTGAGAGCTCAACCTCTGCTTCCCGGGTTCAAGTGGTTCTCGTGCCTCAGCCTCCTGAGTACCTGGGATGACAGGTGTGCGTCACCATGTCGCGCTAAGGCTATTTTTTTTCTTTGAGACGGAGTCTCACTCTGTTGCCCAGGCTGGAGTGCAATGGCACGATCTTGGCTCACTGCAACCTCCGCCTCCCAAGTTCAAGCGATTCTCCTGCCTCAGCCTCCCAAGTAGCTGGGACTATAGCCACCTGCCACCGCGCCCAGCTAATTTTTGTATTTTTAGTAGAGACGGGGTTTCACCATATTGGCCGGGCTGGTCTGGAACTCCTGACCTTGTGATCCACCCACCTCAGCCTCCCAAAGTGCTGGGATTACAAGCGTGAGCCACCGTGCCTGGCCTTACAAAATGTATTTCTAAATAGGAAGACTTGAAAGCCAAAATTACTCCTTGATCCATGGGGCTGCAGAATGAACGCTGTGTTAGCATGCATGAAAACAGCCTTCATCGCCTTGCACATCTCTGTCAGAGTTCTTTGGCGACCAGGTGCACTGTCAATAAGCAATAATATTTTGAAAGTAATTTTTTTTCTCAGTAGTAGGTGTCAACAATGGCCTTAAAATACTCAGTAAACCACATCATAATCAGATGTGCTGTCACCCGGGCTTTGTTGTTCCATTTCTATAGCACAGAGTAGATTTGGCCCTTTTTTTTTTTTTTGAGTCAGAGTCTCACTTTGTCGCACAGGCCAGGCCGGAGTGCAGTGGCACAATCTTGCTTCAGTGCAACCTCCATCTCTCAGGTTCAAGCAATCCTCATGCCTCAGCCTCCCAAGTAGCTGGGACTACAGGCACACGCCACCACACCCAGCTAACTTTTGTATCTTTTAGTAAAGATGGGGTTTTGCCATGTTGGCTCAGCTAGTTTCGAGCTCCTGGCCTCAAGCAATCCGCCTGCCTTGGCATGACCCACTGCACCCAGTGGATTTGGCACAACTGTTAAGGGCCCTAGGATCTTCAGAATGGTAAATAACCACTGACCTTAACTTAATGTCACCAGTTGCATTCGATACTAGACACTAAGAAGTCAGGCTTTCCTATGAAGTTTTTAAGCCGGGCATTGACTTCTCCTCTCTAGCTATGGAAGTCCCAGATGGCATCCTCTCGCAAGAGAAAGCTGTTTCGCCTACATTGAAAATCTGTTTAGTGTAGCCACCTTCCTTCATCAATGATCTCAGCTAGATCTTCTGGACAACTTGCTTCAGTTTCTCCATCAGCACTTGCTGCTTCACCTTGCACTTTTATGTTACGGAGACGGCTTCTTTCCTTAAACCTCTGGAACCAACCTCTGCTAGCTTCCAGCTTTTCTTCTGCAGCTTCCTCTCCTCTCTCAGCCTTCACACAATTGAAAGAGAGTTAGGGCCTTGCTCTGGGTTAGGCTTTGGCTTAAGGGAAGGTTGTGGCTGGTTTGATCTTCCATACAGACCGCTCGAACTTTCTCCCTATCAGTAATAATATGGTTTCGCTTTCGTATCATTCGTGTGTTCACTGGAGTAGCACTTTTTCGTTTCCTCCAAGAACTCTTCCTTTGCATTCACAACTTGGCTGTTTGGCTCCACAGCTCTAGCTTTCAGCCTGTCTCAGCTCCTTTTTTATTTATTATTACTTTTTTTTTTTTGAGATGGAGTCTCACTCTGTCAGCCAGGCTGGAGTGCAGTGGTGCCATCTTGGCTCACTGCAACCTCCGCCTCCCATGTTCAAGCGATTCTCCTGCCTCAAACTCCCAAGTAGCTAGGATTACAGGTGCCCGCCACCACACCTGGCTACTTTTTATATTTTTAGTAGAGATGAGGTTTCACCATGTTGGCCAGGCTGGTCTCAAATTCCTGACCTCAGGTGATGCGCCCACCTCGGCCTCCCAAAGTGCTGGGATTACAGGGGTGAGCCACCGCACCCGACCCTATCTCAGCTTTTGACGTGCCTTCCTAAGTTTAATCGTTTCCAGCTTTGATTTAAAGTGAAAGGCATGTGACTCTTCTCTTCACTTGAGCACGTGGAGGCCATTGTAGGGTTCTTAATTGGCCTAATTTCAACATCGAATTTGGAATAGGACGGATGGGAGGATCACTTGAGCCCAGGAGTTCAAGACCAGCCCTGGCAACACAGGGAGACTCTGTCTCTACAAAAAATTAAAAAATAGCCAGGCATGGTGGTGTGTGCCTGTGGTTCAGTTACTCGGGAGGCTGAGGAAGGAGGATCGCTTGAGCCCAAGAAGGTTGAGGCTGCAGAGAGCTATGACTGCACCACTGCACTCCAGCCTGGGAGACAGTGCAAGGCCCTTTCCAAAAACAACAACAAAAGTAAACATTGTTTCTGCTAATGCTGTACATATACCAGAGTTCCCCCTTTCCCGTGGTTTTGTTTTCCAAGGTTTCAGTTACCTGAGGTCAGCTGACGTCCAAAAATGAGTATAGCTAATATTTTTTTCCAAGATGGAGTCCTGCTCTGTTGTCAAGGCTCGAGTACGGTGGCGCAATCTCAGTTCACTGCAACCTCCACCTCCTGGGTTCAAGCAATTCTCCTGCCTCAGCCCTCCCCAGCAGTTGGGGTTACAGATGCCCACCACCAAGCCCAGACTTTTTGTTGGTATTTTTAGTAGAGATGGGGTTTCACCATGTTGGCCAGGCTGGTCTCGAACTCCTGACCTTGTGATCTGCCCACCTCATCCTCCCAAAGAACTGGGATCACAGGCGGGGGTTTCACCATGTTGGCTAGGCTGGTCTCGAACTCCTGACCTCATGATCCGTTTGCCTCAGCCTCCCCAAGTGCTGGGATTCAGTGTGCACCACTGCACCAGGCTAGTTATCTTCAAAGACCACATTCACATAACCTTTTACTGTTAAAATTGTTCTTTTTTAAATTGTTGCTAATCTTACTGCACCAAATTTATACATTTTATCACAGATATTTATTTATAGGAACACACCCCATCAACCAGCATGCCACTAGAGGTGCAGGGCCCACACTCTAGAGGACTCTGATTTAAGGATTCTGAATGGTAGAAGAGGGGCTGTTACCTCTTCAACAAAGGACAGCGCTGAGGGCTTCTGCAGTGCCACCCTGCACATGCAGGTTCCGGCTCACAACGCCAGTCTCGTAACTAAGAAGTCCCTGTAGACGAAGCCTAGCCATCACTCAGGAAGTTCAGCAGACAGGTGTGGGACAGGCCTTGTTTCTGAAACATGAGGTCATCACTCAGGGGCCCTACCAACCTGTCTCATAACTGCACTGACTTCCAGTTGTGGCTGTTAAGTTTAAGCCCCAAACTTGGTGGCTCAAAACATCACAGATCAGTCTGGGCACATTGGCTCATGCCTGTAATCCCAGCACTTCGGGAGGCCAAGGCGGGCAGATCACTTGAGGTCAGGAGTTCGTGACCAGCCTGGCCAACATGGTGAAACTCCATCTCCACTAAAACCACAAAAATTAGCCAGGCATGATGGCATGCACCTGTAATCCCAGCTACTTGGGAGGCTGAGGCAGAAGAATCACTTGAACCCGGGAGGCAGTGGGTGCAGTGGACCGAGATCATGCCACTGCACTCCAAGCCTGGGCAACAGAGCAAGACTCCATCTCAAAAACAAACAACCACCACAGATGTATTCTCTTACGGCTCTGGAGGTGAGAAATCTGAAATCAGTTTCTCTGGGCTAACATCAAGGTGTCGGCAGGCAGTTCCAGCTGGAGGCTGAGGGAGGGTCTGCTGCTATTGCCCTAGGCAGCATCCCCTGGTTGCCTCTGCTTCTTGTCTTCTGGGCCTCTCCTCCTCTGACTCTGACGTCTCGTCTGTCCCTCTAATGAGGACTCTGTGATCTTATCAGACCCACCTGGATAACCCAGGACCACCTCTTCATCTCAAACCCCTAATCCCATTTGCAAAGCCCCTTTGCCACAGAAGGTAACACACACTCACAGGCTCTGGGGATCAGGACATGGACACTTTAGGGGTCATCCTTCAGCTGGCCACCATGACCAAGATGAAGGAGGCAACTGAACAGGCCAGCGTGGCCAGGGCCGAGGCAGGTGCTGGAGAACAGCACTAGCCTCGCATCTGGTGGAGGCCAGGGGTCAGGGTGTGAGGCACAATGTCATGTGCTGCAACGAACAGCACGTGAGGGAGCAGATCCTAAAATGGACTCAAGGTCATGGGCCGAGTGTGACTCACAGGGAGTAAGCCAAGGTCAAAGCAGACTTGGGGTCCTTGGCTTTAGCTAACACAGAGGTGAACCCTGGCCCGCCCAACCCATGGGGCACAGAATGAGCAGCGGCAGCCAGCAGAGTTCCAACCACAGGAAACTGGTGGCAAGTGAGATTTATTTAAACGCCGACATGTCAACAGGAACAGGAAGAGGAACATGTGCGACCACTGTAGTGATCGAGGCTTCTCAGGGTGTGGGATGAGACCTGCAGACGAGGCCCGCCCACCGCTCAGGGAGCTCGCAGGTATCCTCCAGGAGGGCGAGTGGCTTCTGCTTCTGGCTTGGCATAAGCCTTCAACAGATTAATAAGTTATCTCCTTCAGCCCTGAGGGGAGACACACAGACACCATTAGGAGACCCTGGTGGCCAGGAGCAGAGGCCCTGAGAGGACCCCCAGTGACCGGCTCAGGGGCACCAGTCACACTGCTGACCACTGCAGCACCGCCCGCCTGCTAACATAAAAGAGGTTTCGCAAGGACAAAAGGTTGGGCAAGACTGTGTTTATGGGTGGTTTTACAAGGATTAAGAAAGCATTATAACAGTTTATGGACTGTCTGCAGTTAACGCCAAAAATCTACCCTTTATGTGCTGAACTTTGAGCAAAGGCAGAGATGGATCTTCCACACAGACAAGCACTGATGTCCCAAAGCAGCCAGGGGTCAGTGGGGACAAAAGAAATTCCTGACATTAAAATGCTCAATATATTGTTCCTTTGTTAGAACTAGAGTTCACTTAAAAGTATTACAAATAACCTATGTTTCCAAAAATAAGGAAAAATTAATTCAGCCATAGTGACATAATATAATATTATAAAGCCATTACAATTATGCTCATTGAGCATTTTTAATTGCCAGGGGGAAGTACTAAAAGTTATAATAATAAATTGAAAACACTTGAAATCAAAGTTGCATAAATATAAAAATTTAACTCATTATAAAAACAAACAGCCGGGCGCGGTGGCTCAAGCCTGTAATCCCAGCACTTTGGGAGGCCAAGACGGGAGGATCACGAGGTCAGGAGATCGAGACCATCCTGGCTAACACGGTGAAACCCCGTGTCTACTAAAAAAAATACAAAAAACTAGCCGGGCGAGGTGGCGGGCGCCTGTAGTCCCAGCTACACAGGAGGCTGAGGCAGGAGAATGGCAGGAACCCGGGAGGCAGAGCTTGCAGTGAGCTGAGATCCGGCCACTGCACTCCAGCCCGGGCGACAGAGCGAGACTCCACCTCAAAAAAAAAAAAAAAACAGTATTTAGAAATAGAGGGGAAGGGAAAAGTCGCAAGAGATCATCTCTGACTGACAGGCATACAGGTGGATTTTCTTTGTTATATTTTTTAGAAGCTTTCAACTTTCCTACTACGAAGTATTTTTTTTTAATATAATTAAGAGGAGGATAATATAAAAATACGCCAATAAGTGACTTTTTTTTTTTCCTGGAGACATAGTCTCGCTCCATTGCCCAGGCTGGAGTGCAGTGGCACAGTCTCAGTTCACTGCAACTTCTGCCTCCCAGGTTCAAGAGATTCTCCTGCCTCAGCCTCCCAAGTAGCTGGGACTACAGTCATGCGCCACCACACCCAGCTAATTTTTGTATTTTTAGTAGAGACGGGATTTCACCATGTTGGCCAGGCTGCTTTCGAACTCCTGACCTCAGGTGATCTGCCTGCCTTAGCCTCCCAAAGTGCTGGGATTACAGGTGTGAGCCACTGTGCTCAGTCCACCAATAAATGACTTTAAATCCAAAACAAACATGAAGGCCAGGCACAGCGGCTCATGCCTGTAATCCCAGCACTTTGGGAGGCCGAGCCAGGCAGATCACTTAAGTTCAGGAGTTTGAGACCAGCCTGGCCAACATGGTGAAATTCCGTCTCTACTGAAAATACAAAAGTTAGCTGGACATGGTGGTGGATGCCTGTAATCCCCGCTACTCAGGAGGCTGAGGCAGGAGAATCACTTGAACCCAGGAGGCGGAGGCTGCAGTGAGACGAGATCATGCTACTGCACTCCAGTCTGGACAATGAGCAAGACTCCATCTCAAAACAAACAAACAAACAAAAAAACCAAAACCAAACCAAACCAATGTGAAAGGTCTGTGTGGGCTGAGCTGCACAGTTAGGCAATTCTGTGTGGAATGACAAGTCCAAAGGGGCTGATTATCAGTCTCAAGTCAACCTGGAATTTTTGCAAAGGTGATGGGGGAGGTCCTTGCCTCTGTCAAGTTCTGTTTCGGATCAGCTGCCTGCTTGTGATTGCATGTCACTGAGGGAAGCTTGAAAGGAAGCTATTCCACTGAAGGCCGGAACTGGGATCTACAGTGGCCTCCATCGGTCTGGAGAGACACTCAAAGCCTAACCACTGGGCAAAGCAAGCCCAGCAGAGGGCAGCTGAAAAGGAGCTGGACCAGGACCAAGACCAAGGTAACAAGACACAGAGATGGATCCACACCTGCTCCCCGTGGCCCTACTCGGCCACAGACAGGGATGTGCACCTTAATAAGAAGAGGGAAAATCCAGCCGCTAGCTGCCTGGGTTCGTGAGGAAGATGTAAGGATCTGTGCTTTTCACATCCAGTGAACCTGGTTGCAAGTGGATGGAAAAGACACGCCGGTTACTTTTCTGGAGATTTTTACTTTAAACTCTCAAGCTCTTTTACCTTCCAGCTGCGGGAACTCCACAGTACATCTCTCAAGGGTTGTTTTGGGCTACGTGGCTTAAACAGTTCTCCTGGTTTTTGTGCTATAAAAACACACAAGATATAACAGCAAATTCTCTGGATATGCTCACGGATACTTGTACATGATCCTCTAGTTCTTTCTGGGCCCAAAGTTCCAAATATATCTTTCAGTTTGGGAAGAAGAAAAGTTCCGGCCAGCCACAGTGGCTCATGTCTGTAATCCCAGCACTTTGGGAAGCTGAGGCAAGAGGACTGCTTGAGGCCAGGAATTATTTATTTATTTTTTATTGTTTGAGATGGAGTTTCGCTCTTCTTGCCCAGGCTGGAGTGCAATGGTGCAGTCTTGGCTCACTGCAACCTCTACCTCCCAGGTACAAGCAATTCTCCTGCCTCAGCCTCCCGAGTAGCTGCGATTACAGGCGCCTGGCACCATGCCTGGCTATTTTTTTCTTTTTCTTTTTTTTTTTTTTTTTTTGTATTTTTAATAGAGACAGGGTTTCACCATGTTAGCCAGGCTGGTCTTGAACTCCTGACCTCAAGTGATCTCCCCACCTCAGCCTCCCAGAGTGCTGGGATTACAGGCGTGAGAACCTGTGCCCAGCCTACTTGAGGCCAGGAATTCACGACCAGCCTTAGAGAGACCTCTACAGAAAATCAGCCCGGCTCCTGTAGTCCCAGCTACTCAGGAGGCAGGAGGATCACTCGAGCTCAGGAATTGGAGGCTGCAGTGAGCTATGACCGTACCACGGTACTCCAGCCTGGGTGACACAGTGAGGCCCTGTCTCAAAACAAGAAAGAAAGAAGAGAGAAGGAAAGAGGGAAGACAAAAAAAAGAGAGAAAGGGAAAGAAAAGGAAAAAGAAAAGTTCACTACTTCCAGGTCAAGGCAAGAAAAGTACAGTCACGCACCGAGCTCATTTCCTCCTTTGGTTGCCCAGCAAAGGCAGTAATGCCGCATGAGTTGCTCCAGCAGCTCCATTTCATCCAGAAATTCAAGTGATTCTATCCTGTGGGAAGAATTAAAATAGAACAATCCCAGGGTCTGCATTGAAAAGGAAGATCATGGCCCATAGTTACGGATATGAAAAAATGTTCACGATAGGTTAAGTGGAAAGAAGGCGGCTATAAAATAGTAATTATGATGTGGCTCCACTTTAATTTCTTTTCACTGAAAAGAAACAAAGTCAAAACAAAGTCAAAACACAAATGACAAACTAGAAACATATATTTGCAATTCAAGTGGCAAAGGGTTGAGTTCCTTATTATATAAAGAGCTGTTAAACTTCAGTAAGAAAAACTAGTGGTAACTGGAGGAGACAGGCAGAGTAAATTGAAGCAGATTGATACCGTCAAAACAGGACACTACGCAGCCATTTTAAAAAATGGGGTAGGTCCATACGTATTAATATGCAATAACCTCCAAGACATATCATGGAATTTAAAAAGCAAGTTGTGTGATTTAAAAAGCAAGTAATGTGCACAGTACACCACTCTCCATGTAAAGAAAAAGTGAGACAAATTTGTCTGTATATGTACAGACTTTTGGAAAATACAGAAGAAACCAGAAATGGTACTTGTCTCTTGAGAGAGAAGGGAGTAGACCAGCAGTGAGGAGGGTTGCTTTTACTCTATACTACTTTATTCTGGCTTTATAAAAAATTATATGCATGTATGACTTTTCCAAAAAAGCCTTGTAAATCTAAACTTTTAAATATACATACACAGGTTGGGTGAAGCGCCTCATGCCTGTAATCCCAGCACTTTGGAAGGCCATGGTGGGTGGATCTCCTGAGGTCAGAGTTTGAGACCAGCCTGGCCAACATGGTGAAACCCCATCTCTACCAAAAATACACAAATTAGCCTGGCGTGGTGGTGCCCACCTGTAGTCACAGCTATTCGGAGGCTGAGGCAGGAGAATTGCTTGAACCTGGGAGGCAGAGGTTGCAGTGAGCAGAGATCACACCACTGCACTCCAGCCTGGTAACAGAGCGAGACTCAGTCTCAAAAAAAAAAAATAAATAAAATAAAATAAATAAATATATACACACAGAGAGAAATATGCACAAACACATGGAAACAGCTTCTTAAAAAAGTTTCTGTTTGCCAGGAGCAGTGGCTTACGCCTCTAATGCCAGGGCTTTGGGAGGCCAAGATGGGAGAATCACTTGAGGCCCGGAGTTTGAGACCAGCCTAGGCAATATAGCAATACTCCATCTCTATCAAAAAAAAAAAAAAAGTTTATGTCAAAATATGTACACACTATGGAGGAAAAGTCAGGCATTTTCAAAAAGTATACAGAATAAAATAAAAAAAGAAACAGGATCCATATTCCTACTATTCACAATAGCCACTGCTAACATCGAGTCCTGCCACTTGCCCAGGCCTTGTCTGTTATATGCACGTATGCACAGGTGTGAACACATGTGCATGTCTGTGCATGTTTCTGTATTTGTGAGTTCATTCCCATCTTGGTATGCAGGTCTCAGGACCACATCTGAAGTAAGAATGACTACACATTAACTAATGTGGTTGCTTCCCAAGTCATTCTACCAGGAGACATCCAAAGCAGATCTGATACCAAGTTCTAGAAAAATCCATCACCATACTGAAGGCTCCAAGACAGTTATTACCACATACAGCTGTCAGGAGACACTACTAATTATTAAGCTGTTCACTAGAAAGAGTGCTCCCAAGGGCAGGAATGTCTTTTGTCCTATTTTGATCATTGCTGTAACCCTGGTGCTTAGAAAAGTGCCAGGTACACAGCAGACACTCAGCATTTGTTCAATGAATAGCCTCGCCTTAGGCTTCCTATTATACTCCACAGTTTCTGGCGAAAGCAGATACAAACTACGTGGCATTCACAGAGCTGGACAGGCTGTTTGGCCTGGCATAGATAGACAAAGGCCTTCCAATCTCCTTACCCACCACCCCCACGAGGGTTACACGTTGCTGTCTACAGAAGTCCTGGAAACATGAGACAAATGACTTCCTGGAGGCAAGAGTTTCCTTGTGGTTGATGCTAGTCATAGGCTCCTTTCTGGGCATCTAGAAGCAGTCCCAGAGCAAACCCGTGTCAGGGGTGTTCAAAACAGTCGTCTTGACATATAGCAAATGAAAACCAGCCTGTGGAGAAGGATGCTTCCAGAAGAATCCAGGAAGCACTGACCTGATCACGTGGAGACAGCACTTTCTCAAACCCTCCAGGCTTTCATGGCCAATTATTCACGTACATATTTGGGAAAAACAGTGATACGTCTAAATGTTAAGAAGTTATATGGAAAAGCAAAGCCAAAAATTCTTCTCATGATCTTATAAGAGACCAAAGGCTATTGATCTTAGGTCTCCAAAGACAAGAAGAAAGCAGGAATCAGGAAGCACAGAGTGATTCCAAAAAAAAGAGCTAAAGTGCGCACTAGGGCTGTACATAGATGCACATCGGTGATGTTCTCTCCAGTGTTGTTTATAACAGGGAAATGAAAACAAGATGAATAAACAAGACACCGCAACTAAATGCCTAGCTACAGACATTTTTAATTATTTAAAAATTATTATCAATATACTATATCCACATATCAACATAAATACTATGTACCCTACTTTTTTTTTTTTCCGAGACAGAGTTTCGCTCTTGTTACCCAGGCTGGAGTGCAATGGCGTGACCTCGGCTCACTGCAACCTCTGCCTCCCGGGTTCAAGCAATTCTCCTGCCTCAGCCTCCCAAGTAGTTGGGATTACAGGCGCCCACCACCACGCCCGGCTAATTTTTTGTATTTTTAGTAGAGACACGGTTTCACCATGTTGGCCAGGCTGGTCTCGAACTCCTAACTTCAGGTGATCTACCTGCCTTGGGCTCCCAAAGTGCTGGGATTTCAGGCATGAGCTACCACGCATGGCCCTTTGTACCCTTAAATGGGATATGGCAACCCTCAATATTTTGATATGTAAAGGCAAATACAATCTATTGTTTTCAAAAAGGATGGTGGTTTACAGACCAGTATGTGTAGTATGAATCCATGGATTAAAAAAATAGAAATCTATGTATTAATAAATATTTATCTTTCTATCTAGGAAAAGAATATTCCCCAATATGTTAAGAACTGCTACCTCCCAAGTGTGACTACAGAGGGGACAACTACTTTATACTTCATGCACTTTATAATGCTTGAGGAACTTTTTAGAACCACAAGCATAGATTTCCTTTATAATGGGGAGAAAAGTCCATTTAAAAACCCTCCAGCCCCTTATACGTCCTTGAGCAACGTCGTTTTCCTCCCTCTCCAAAGTTATGTAAAATTTCCACTGCCAAGGTTGCTCTGGGAGTTTTCCAGGTGTAACTGCTTGTTTCAACTAAAATAATCAGTTTGGGCATAAGCCCTATCTCAGCTAATAGCTAATGAGTTACTTTCAAGCTGCTATCAGTGTTTAACTTGTTTCAAAATAGGTCTAGTTAGGGTCTTTTTTTTTTGAGAAGCAGTCTTGCTCTGTCACCCAGGCTGGATACTGTGGCACAACCTCAGATCACTGCAACCTCCGCCTCCTGGATTCAAGTAACTCTCCTGCCTCGGCCTCCTTAGTAGCTGGGATTACAGGCCTGTGCCACCACACCTGGCTAACTTTTGCATTTTTATTTATTTTATTTTTTGGAGACAGAGTTTCGCTCTTTCACCCGGGCTGGAGTGAAGTGGCATGATCTCAGCTCACTGCAACCTCCGCCCCCGCCCCGGGGTTCAAGCGATTCTCCTGCCTCAGCCTCCCGAGTAGCTGGGATTACAAATGCGTGCCACCCCGCTTGGCTAATTTTTGTATTTTTAGTAGAGACGGGGTTTCACCATATTGGCCAGGCTGGTCTCGAACTCCTGACCTCAAGTGATCTGCACACCTATGCCTCCCAAAGTGCTGGGATTACAAGTGTGAGTCACCGTGCCTGGCCTTGTGTTTTTTTTTTTTTTTTTAAATGAAATCTCCACATATTGTTCTGTTTTTCTGCATTAAAGAATAGAGGCAATCATGCCTTCAGTTCACAATGAATGCCCATCAAGCTGACGCTCACCAACCCCATACCTGCTCACTTCAGCTCGAGGTAACCTGTTGTACAACTCCATCATGTCGACGGCCGATGCTGTTTCCCACCCATTCGACAGGAGCCGTTCTTTCTAAAACGTGCAACGAAGAGAAATGGAGAACTAGAGAACTACCAGGCACTGGCTTACAAATCTGAGACACTATTTTGTTTTAAAGAGACAAGGTCTCACTCTGTTGCCCAGGCTGAAGTGCAGTGGTGTGATCACAGCTCACTGCAGCCGTGACCTACTAGGCTCAAGCGATTCCTCCCCCTTCAGCTGCCCAAGGTGGTGGGATCAGAGGTGTGAGCCAGTGTGCCAGGCACTGAGACGCTCTTAAGCACACCAGACCTCCTCTGAGCTGACTCCTTTCTCAAAAGCACATCCTAGACCCTAATATCTTCTTTTTACTTTCCAACTTTCCATACTGAACAAGCATTGTTATAATGGGGAGAAATTCACTAAAGTACTTCCAAAGAGAAATAAAGGAAGAACTTTTCTATGAGCGACAGTTTTTTAAAGCATTCTAATGGTTATGTGACAAAAGACATGTAAAAATGAACCTATTTATTTATTTTTTAATTTACTTATTTATTTTGAGACAGAGGCTCACTCTGTTGCCCAGGCTGGAGTGCAGTAGCTTGATTTCGGCTCACTGCAACCTCCATCTCCCAGGTTCAAGCAAATCTCCTGCCTCAGCCTCCCGAGTAGCTGGGATTACAGGCGTGTGCCACCACGCCCGGCTAATTTTTGTATTTTTAGTAGAGATGGGGTTTCACCATATTGGCCAGGCTGGTCTGGAACTCCTGAACTGAGGTGATCTGCCTGCCTCAGTATCCCAAAGTGCTGGGATTACAGGTGTGAGCCACCACACCCACCCAAAAAATGAACCTATTTATATGGGGGCAGGGGTGGGAGTTGTTTTGAGAAAAAATAAATGACTTTTTTAAAGGAAGGGGGCATTACTATAGAGTCAAAGAGGTTTAAGGGACATATCAATCATCTACAAAGTGTGGACAACGTTTAAATCCTGATTCAAACACATCAACTATAAAAAAAAGGTTTTTTTTAAATAACTGGGGAAATTGAACATGAACTGGGCATTAAACGCTATGAAGGAGTTGTCAGCTTGTGAGGTATGATCTGTGAAATGGTGTCATCATCATCCTGGGAGAAGCAAGTCCTTATTGGTAGGTGATTCACATGCGTATTTAGGGGTGAAATCATGTGCTGTCCGGGATTTGCCTGAAAATATTCCAACATCAACAAAAAAATTGTGGGAGAATACAGGAAATAATACTGATAAAATAAGTAATACTGATGTTAGGTGATGGGACGTGTGTTTTTATTTTACCATTCCCTCTACCTTTTTGTTTGAAAATTTGCATAATACAAAGTCAAAATAATAGGGTGTAGGAAATGTAAATGTGTATTTTCTACACCAAGATGGCAAAGCAGGACTTGGTCTTCCCAGTATCATGAACTAGCGGCCCACATGGAGGCTCAGCAGCCTATGGTGGCAGGCACTGAACAGGGCTTCTCCATGATCGTATCTGCAAAGAAAGACCTTTATATATCTTGGTTGACTAACGGTCCAAATGGATGTCCCAGTCCCTGCTCTCTGACCTGTGACTCTAATGACTTGCAAGTCTCCACTCCCGCCAGGTCACACTGGCGTCTCCGCAGGTTTTCAATCATGATCTGCCCAAACCGATCACCCATGTTCACCTAGGAGGGAAAGAGAAGGTAAGACATTACTCTAAGGGTTTGTTAAATATGCAAAATAAAACATCATCATCCTATTTTTAAGCAGTAGAGGCTGACGTCTGATGAGGCACACCCAGCATAGGAAAACAACTGAGGGGCAGGCACCAGCACAGTGCTGGTGGGAGCATAAACTTGGGTAGCCCTGGAAGGGCAATTGGGCAGGATACACCCATTTTAAATGCTCAACCTGGCAGGGCGAGGTGGCTCACGCCTGTAATCCCAGCACTTTGGGAGGCCAAGGTGGGCAGATCACAAGGTCAGGAGATCGAGACCATCCTGGCTAACACGGTGAAACCCCTTCTCTACTAAAAATACAAAAAATTAGCCGGGCATGGTGGCGGGTGCCTGTAATCCCAGCTACTCGGGAGGCTGAGGCAGGAGAGAATGGCGTGAACCCGGGAGGCGGAGCTTGCAGTGAGCCGAGATTGTGTCACTGCACTCCAGCCTGGGCGACAGAGCGAGACTCCATCTCAAAAAATAAAAAATAAATGCTCAACCTGTGATCCACCAACTCCACCGAAAGCAATCTACCCTACAGACACACTTACACGTATCTGCTAAGATGCAAGAATGTTTATCACAGCATTAGGTAACATAGGAAGAATCTGGAAATAACTCCTGGCATGTCTGTATAACGAAATTATATATAGCCATGAAAACAAGAGAAGGAAGACAGATACAGACATGAAATGACCTCTAGGGTAAACTCTTGAAAAGTGGAGAGGAATATGGATAGTATACGCCCATGTGTCTTCAAGGAAAAAAAGAATCTCTATGTACATAGAAAAATTCTGGAATGTGGCAGCCTTGCTTTCCAGATTAGAGGACCAAGGTCTGGGGCAAGAGAGAGATTTACTTTTCCTTGTCTACCCTGTTGTATTTTTAATTTTTGTACTCTGCATGTGGTATTACTTTTTGAATTACAAAAACTGATCTAAAAAACCTCAAATTATATATGAAAAACGCCAGGAAACAATATTAGTGTACACCATTGTATATACACTATCGCTTTTTCAAAAATTCACCACTTTCAGCCAGGCATGGTGGCCATGCCTGTAATCTCAGCACTTTGGGAGGCTGAAGCGAGTAGATCACTTGAGGTCAGGAGTTCAACACCAGCCTGGCCAACATGGTGAAACACCGTCCCTACTAAAAATACAAAAATCAGCCAGACACAGTGGCATGTGCCTGTAATCCCAGCTACTCAGGAGGTTGAGACAGGAGAATCACTTGCACCCGGGAGGCAGAGGTTGCAGTGAGCCAAGATTGTGCAACTGCACTCCAGTCTGGATGACAGACTCTGGCCTCAAAAAGAAAAAAGGACGGGTGCGGTGGCTGATGCCTGTAATCCCAGTACTTTGGGAGGCTGAAGCAGGCGGATCACTTGAGGCCAGGAGTTTGAGACCAGCCTGACCAACATGGTGAAACCCCATCTCTACTGAAAATGCAAAAATTAGCTGGGTGTGGTGGCAGGCAAGTATAATCCCAGCTACTAGGGAGGCTGAGGCAGGAGAATCGCTTAAACCTGCGAGTTGGAGGTTGCAGTGAGCCGAGATCGCACCACTGCATTCCAGGCTGGGCAACAAGAATGAAACTTCATCTCAGCGGCGGAAAATCCGCTTCACACGACAACACTGCTAGACAAGAACCAACACCATTTTGGTGGAGAGAAAGGAATGTGGCACTAATGATCACATGGCACTTCTTCATTCCAGATAGAAAGTGTTTGTCAGCACATACTCTGTCGTTTTATTGCCTGGGTTTGAATCTTTGCTTGACATTTAAGAGCTTTGAGGCTGTGTGTAAACTACATAACTCTGTGCCTCAGTCTCCCCTTACCTATGGAATTAGAATAGTACTAGTATCTACTTGTGGCTAGCTGTGATAATTACATAAATTAATAGGCCAGGTACAGTGGCTCACACCTGTAATCCCAGCACTTCGGGAGGCCAAGGTAGGCAGATCACTTGAGGTCAGGAGATCAAAAGCAGCCTGGCCAACATGGTGAAACCCCGTCTCTACTAAAAATACAAAATTAGCTGGGAATGGTGGCACACACCTGTAATCCCAGTTACTCAGGAGGCTGAGGCAGGACAATCACTTGAACCTGGGAGGTGGACGTTGCAATGAGCCAAGATTGTGCCACTGCACTCCAGCCTGGGTGACAGGGTAAGATTCCACCTCAAAAAATGAATAAATAAATAAATAAGTTAATATATGTAAAACTCATAGAATAGTCCCTGCTATATAGTAAGCAAAATCTAAGAATTTGCTACCACTGCTTTAGAATTATGATTGAAATTATTATCATCCATGTAGTTTTGTCATCTTAAACTACTAATTAGAAAACAAGCTAAGCATGGTGGCTGATGCTTGTAGTCCCAGGGCTTTGGGACGCTGGGGTAGGAGAACTGCTTGAGGCCAGAAGTTTGAGACCAGCCTGGACAACACAGCAAGATCCCGTCTCTACCAAAAAAAAAAAAAAATTTAGCTGAGAATGGTGGTGTGCACCTACAGTCCTAACTAATGGGGAGACTAAGGTTGGGGGATCACTTGAGCCTGGAAGCTCAAGGCTGCAGTGAACTATGATAGCACCACTGCACTCCAGCCTGGGCGACAGAACAAGACCCTGTTTCTGGAAAAAAAAAAAAAAAAAAAAAAAAAGGAAAAGCAAACAATGTAAGGCATGTGAGCAATTAATACATGTTTGTGAAGTGCTGATCATTTTGTGTTTGTTAGGAAATTACTGAATTAACTTAAATGTTCATTATGCACCAGGTGAGGGTGGCGAGTGGGAGCAGAACCGGTTGAGGGACAGCTGTGGACAACATTTTGAAAACTGGCATATTCCCAGGCTTGCTCCAAAGTGACAAGATCTCTGGTCAGAATTCACTGAATCCATCACCTCTCATATGACGTTGAATAAACACTTGTTCAACAAAATACACAAAGTAAGGAAAGTGAAAGCAGCAGCATAAATCCGAAACGTGGAGTATGGACAGTGGAATTTGTTTCCCCAGATGTGGTTATCCTGAAAGCAAAGATAGGTCCCCAGGATTTATTCACATCAAAAGAAAAGACCAGTGAGGCCACCTTCCATTACATCCATCCATCAGGACGGAAGACAGAGTCTGAGGAGCGCTCCCAACTAAAGAGAGGGAAGGATGCAAAATCAACCAATCAAGAACCATCTACACAGGAACCTGGGCAGGAAGGGACCTGGGGAGGAGGTTGAGAGACCAAGAGCTAGCCCTAGATCTGTCCATAATTACATGACACTGGGCAAGTCCCCTTATTGATCTTTTGTGTGATAAAATAAAAAAGAAAAGGAGATTTAAAAAAAAAAACTGACCAACCCGGGCAACATGGCAAAACCCTGTCTCTACAAAATAAATTTAAAAATTAACTGGGCGTGGTATGTGCACCTGTGATCTCAGCTACTTGGGAGGATGACCTGGCAGGATCATCTGAGCCCCAGGTCAAGGTTGCAGTGAGCCATGATCCCCACCACTGCACTCCAGCCTGGGTGATAGAGTGAGACCCTACCTCAAACAAACAAATAAACAAAAAGCAATACACAATAAAAACAGTGAGCATGTATCAGTGCTTATCATGCGATAAGCCACTGACAGCATCTCAGGAATCTCCATAATAATCTGGAGAGCGGGTATCATACTTTTTTTTGTTGTTGTTGTTTTTTGTTTTTTTGAGATAGAGTCTCAAGTCTGTCACCCAGGCTGGAGTACAATGGTATAGTCTCAGCTAACTGCAACCTCTGCCTCCCTGGTTCAAGCGATTCCCCTGCCTCAGCCTCCCATGTAGCTGGGATTACAGGCATCTGCCACCATGCCTGGCTAATTTTTGTATTTTTAGTAGAGACAGGGTTTCACCATGTTGGCCAGGCTGGTCTTGAACTCCTGATCTCAGGTAATCTGCCCACATCGGCCTCCCCAAAGTGCTGGGATCACAGGCGTGAGCCACCGTGCCCAGCCAAGAGTGGGTATTATTTCTTTAAAAACAAAGAACGGGGGCTCAGAGAGAGCAAAAAATAGCTGATGCTTACTTACAGCTGGGCAACACTGTCAGTGCTTTTGGATACATTAACTCATTTACATCTCACAACAATGCTATGAAGTAGGGACTATTATTTTCAGATGAAGAAACAGGCACAGAGGGACAGCCGGGCATGGTGGCTCACGCCTGTAAGCCCGGCACTTTGGGTGGCTGAGGCAGGCAGATCACCTGAGGTCATGAGTTTGAGACCAGCCTGGCCAACATGGTGAAACCCCATCTCTACTAAAAACACAAAATTAGCCGGATGTGATGGTGCACACCTGTAATCCCAGCTATTTGGAAGGCTGAGGCAGGGGAATGGCTTGAACCTGGGAGGTGGAGGTTGCAGAGAGCCAAGATCGCGCCATTGCACTCCAGCCTGGGCAATAAGAGTGAAACTCTGGCAAATAAAAGAAAGAAAAGGAAAAGAAAGGGAAAGGGAAAGGGAAAGAAAAGAAAAAAAAAGAAACAGGCACAGAGGGGTTATGTAACTTGCCCAGGTCACACAGCAGGAATGCCCACCTCTGGAGCATGGACTCCCAATCACTAAGCTGTGCTACCTAAGGTCACATAGCTGAGAGCACAAGCCAGGGCCAGGATTCAACCCAAGCTGGGCTATTCCAAAGCTCTAAAACAGAACTTTTTCTGCAATAAATCAGAAGAAGTAAACAGGCAGCTGGTAAATCATACACAGTCATCTTAGAAACTAGAATATTTTACATTAAAATCCTACATTTCCAGCTTCTTTCAAAAATCAGTAGTTCTGGCAGCTCTAGGCTCACATGCCTACATGATAACAACTGGCTGTAAATGGACAGTGGCCACTCCCGTGAGGTGGGACATTGGTGCTCCAGTTCACCACAGTCCCCAAACCCTACACTACTACACCTGGCTGACTTCCTCCACTGGTACCACCTGCCTGTCCCTGACAGCATCTGAGTTGCTACCCCGAAATGCTGGTAGCCAAAATCCCCTTCCTCATGTTCTATGACTCCACGGTACATGTAATGATAAAAATAAGAACTTGAAAGACTTTTGTAAAGGCTAAGACAGAAGTTCCAATAACTCTGGCTAAAAGTCTGCAGGAGGTCAAGGGGTCAGGAGTACTAAGATTGCTGGTTGATGAATAAAGGAGATATGTGAGAGGCTGGAGGAAGAAGGAAAAGGATAAGGGAAGTTATCCGAAGGGTGCTGGGAGAGGGAAACCACCACAGGGGTCCTGTACAGAATCCAATTCTCCTGTGCTTCCTTTTACCTGTTCGTAGTTTATGAACATGGCTGCCTCAAAACTGCTGGCTGCCCACTTCAGGAGGTTTGCAGACTGCTCTGGAGTCATGTAAACCAGCACACATTCAGCTATCAGGAGTGTTGGCAATCTTAAGAGAAGAAAAAAAGGCACATAAATTTGTTATCATCAAGTCAGGACCCTCTAATCATACTGCAGTGCTGGTGGGGCAGTCCATGCCCCAGGGAAATCAGAAGGCCTGAGCGAGCACAGCCCCAGTCAGGGCAGAAATACTTGGGGAATACCATCACAATCCGAGCTTTCTACTGTGACAGGTGAGCAGTGAGCAATGATTTGGGTGGCAATGAAAACATGTTAAGCGTGTGTGGTGGACTGCAAAAACGGCTACAAGTTCTCCCCTGCTGCGCACTCACACCATGCCAACATAACACTGAGGCTTCTCCCATTTGAGAGGTGTTTATTCTTCTACCCCTGGAATCTAGGCTGGTCATGAAACTTTTGCTTTGGTCAACAGGACAGTAGCAAACATGATGCAAGCAGAAGTTTTAAAGTCACTTGCACATTGGTGCTTGCTCTCTTGCTGCACTTGGAAACCTGAAGGAACCCAAGCTAGCCTGCTATAGGAGGAGAAGGAACCATCTGAAGGAACCCAAGCTAGCCTGCTATAGGAGGAGAAGATCTGCGGAAGAGAAGGAGGCCTCCCAACTGACAGCCAGCCAGACCCTAGCTGGCCTGCCCACTATCCACATGATTGAACTCCAGGATATCAGCTAAACCCAACCCCAATCAGAACCATCCAGCTAAGCCCTGTCCAAACCGCAGAATAACCTCCAGCTAAGGAAGGCCAACCCAAACTGCAGAAGAACATCCAGCTAAGCCCAGCCTAAACTGCAGAACATCCAGCTAAGCCCAACAAGAAACTGGTTGAAAGAACATGGTATGCCCTACCCAATGGACTACTATGCAGCTCATAAGTATGATGTTTCAGGGACTGTGTTTATTGACACAAAAGCTATCCATGGTCCCCAGATTCAAGTGGCCTATCAGATGCTTCCCTGCACTTCTTCAAAGCAGATATCCCAGGAGTAACTAAACAGTCAAATGTCATTAGCTGTTTAATGTCTCTTTTCCTTACACAGCAATGTGTAAGCTGTTTTGTTCATGGCTCTATAGTGAGTACCGGTACCTCACAGAACCTCGATTATTTGCTAAATGAGTGAATAGACTAACAAACAAATGATTGTATGTGTACATATACACACATATATTTGATTTTTTTTTTTTTGAGACGGAGTCTCATTCTGTCACCAGGCTGGAGTGCAGTGGCGCAATCTCAGCTCACTGCAACTTCTGCCCCTTGAGTTCAAGCAATTCCCCTGCCTCAGCCTCCGAAGTAGCTGGGACTACAGGCACACACCACCACACCCAGCTAATTTTTGTATTTTTAGTAGAGACGACGTTTCTCCATGTTGGCCAGGATGGTCTCAATCTCTTGACCTCGTGATCTGCCTGTCTCAGCCTCCCAAAGTGCTGGGATTACAGGCGTGAGCCACCGTGCCCAGCCGATTCTTTTAAAAGTTCCAAAACTGGCTGGGTGCAATGGCACACACCTGTAATTCCAATACTTTGGGAGGCCAAGGCAGGCAGATTGCTTGGGCCCAGGAGTTCAAAGCAAGCCTGGGCAATATGGTGAAACCTTGTCTCTACAAAAATTAACTGGGTGTGGTGGTGCACGCCTGTGGTCCCAGCTACTCAGGAAGCTGAGGTGGGAGGATCACTTGAGCCTGGGAGATTCACGCTGCAGTAAGCACAGATCACGCCACTGCACTCCAGCCTGGGTGACAGAGTAAGACCCTGTCTCCAAACAAACAAAAAGTTCCAAAATTATACACATAGCATAATCACATTTTAAAGAAAAACATATATTTACAAATTTTGGGATAAAATTTATTAAGGTGGTTATCTCTAAGTATTGGGATTAGGAATTATTTTTATCTTCTCTTTGAGGAACCATCAAAATCATCAGCAACAATTAAAACTACAGAAATGAAGAGCTGGTTTGCTAGAGACTTCTTTGACAATTATCAACATTCTCAACCGCTAACACTTACAGGTGGGTTCTATTAGTATTCACATTCTCACTTTTTTTTTTTTTTTTTTTTGAGATGGAGTCTTGCTCTGTCGTCTAGGCTGCAGTGCGATGTCGTGATCTTGGCTCACTGCAATCTCCACCTCCTGGGTTCAAATGATTCTCCTGCCTCAGCTTCCTGAGTAGCTGGGGTCCAGGCGTCCACCACCACGCCTAGCTAATTTTTTGTATTTTTAGTTGAGATGGGGCTTCAATATGCTGGCCACGCTGGTCTCAAACTCCTGACCTCAGGTGATCTGCCCACCTCGGCCTCCCAAAGTGCTGGGATTACAGGCATGAGACACCACGCCCAGCCTATAATTCACATTTTTCAGAAGAGGAAACAGATGCAGAGAAGTGAAGTTATCCAAGGTCATGGTCTAGTGCATGTTCCTGTCAGGATTCAAACCTGTGCAGCTGGACTCAGTTCCCAGACTCATGAACTACAAGGAACATTCTCCTTAGGCATATATGCAAGATCTTCTCAAGGGGACACCCACGAAAGTGGAACTGCTATATCCTATGGTACACATACTTACAATGTTACTCAATACTTTCAGATTGCTCCTCACAATGGTTGCACCAAGTTCACTTCCAGCAGTGGTGTATCATTCCCTATCCCCCATATCCTTGCCAACACTTGATACTGTCAGCTGTTACATTTTTGCCAACTTGGTGAGAGTAAAATAGAATTTCATCCGATTATCACTGATGCCCAATACCTGTTTCATATGATATTCAGTTTCTTCTTTGAACTGCCTGGTAATCTATCCTTTGCCCATTTTTCTATGAGGCTTTTAATGGTAGTTGTTCTTTATATATTCTGGACACCAATCTTTTCTTTATATGTCACAAACATGTTTCTATCCATACAATTATCTTCTCTCAAACTTTTATATGAAATTAGGCACCAATATTTTTACAAAGTAACACAGGTGATTCAGATGTAGAAACAGACTTGAAGAACAGTATTGCTTAAAAAATTTCAGAAAACTAGGCCAGGCGTGATGGCTTACAACTGTAATCTCAACACTTTGAGAGGCCAAGGCAGGCAGATCACCTGAGGTCAGGAGTTTGAGACCAGACTGACTACATGGAGAAACCCCATCTCTACTAAAAAATACAAACTTAGCTGGGTGTGGTGGTGCATGCCTGTAATCCCAGCTATTTGGGAGGCTGAGGCAGGAGAATCACTTGAACCCGGGAGGTGGAGGTTGCGGTGAGCTGAGATTGTGCCACTGCATTCCAGCCTGGGCAACAAGAGCAAAATTCCACCTCAAAAAAAAAAAAAGATTTTTTTTCAGAAAACTAGGTAGCAATGAAATAAAACTTACAGAATAAAAAATAAGAACATGAGTATCATGCTGCACTTCCGACTGGCCTTGTCTCATAATTAGCATAAAATCACAAATGTAAAAGAGGTTTTAAAAAAAAATCTCACTGTGTATTCATGTTACATTTCTTTAGTTTCTCTTCCAGTTCAGACAGGTCTCGGAGATCGGCTCCAATAACGGCATATCTCTTTGAATCCAGTATGTGTCCATCTGCAAATGCAATCAGAGGCTATAATTTTAATGAATATGTCTTTTCCAAAGTTATAGTAGCCTTATGGTTTTTCCCTACTATAAAAATACACGCATCATTGTTAAAAAAAAAAAAATAGGTAAGAGGAGGGTAAAAATTATCCAAAATCGTATCTTCCGAAGATAACTATTCGTGTTTTGGTGTGTAACATTTCAGCATTTTGCCCTATGTGCTTAAGTTATTGCACACAACAAAAACACATTCTCCCTCTCATGCACATGGTGGGCGCGCACGCACACACACACACACACACACACCCTGAATAGAGAAAAGAAAATGGGACCACCCAATATGTGGTTTGAAAACTGCTTTTCCTACATAACAACAGCATCAGGGACATCCTTCTGTACAATGATTTCATAGCATTCCACTGACTGGATAAAACATAACTTATTTAGCCAATCCCTCACTATGAGATGTGGTATTCCTGAGTTTTCCCCATCTAGGCATTGCAAGCATCCTTGTATATACATCATGAAGCATCTGTCCAGTTATTTCTTTAAAGTAGGTAGTATGAGCAGAATTAAGAGATCAGAGGGTAGCCAGGCGTGGTGGCTCAAGCCTGTAATCCCAGCACTTTCGGAGGCCAAGCTGGGCGGATCACGAGGTCAGGAGATTGAGACCATCCTGGCTAACACAGTGAAACCCCGCCTCTACTAAAAATACAAAAAAAAAAAAAAAAAAAATTAGCCGGGTATGGTGGCAGGCGACCTATAGTCCCAGCTACTCTGGAGGCTGAGGCAGGAGAAGGGCATGAACCTGGGAGGCGGAGCTTGCAGTGAGCCGAGATTGCACCACTGCACTCCAGCCTGGGCAACGGAGAGACTCCATCTCAAAAAAAAAAAAAAAAAAAAGAGATCAGATGGTAAGCCTATTTAAATATGGGGACCCATTAGCAGGCTGCTTTCTAAATGTTATGCCCATTTGTGTTATGTTTTAAAAAAGACAATTTATGTACTAATGTATTCACAAATAAAATGACAGCATTTGCTTTGAAAGACTCCAGCAGAGGTAGGATGAAATGATATCTATAGTGATCCTCAGGCTTCAGTGGTCATCAGAATCAGCTGGGTGGCTTGCTAAACCACAGACTGATAGGCTCCACCCCAAGTTTCTGATTCACTACATCTTCCACTAGCGGAAACTGACATTTCTAGCGGCTGGGCGCGGTGGCTCATGCCTGTAATCCCAACACTTTGGGAGGCCGAGGCGGGCAGATCGCGAGGTCAGGAGATCAAGACCATCCTGGCCAAGATGGTGAAACCCCATCTCTACTAAAAATACAAAAATTAGCTGGGTGTGGTGGCGCACACCTGTAATCCCAGCTACTTGGGAGGCTGAGGCAGAAGAATGGCTTGAACCTTGGAAGCGGAGGTTGCAGTGAGCCAAGATCATGCCACTGCACTCCAGCCTGGTGACAAAGCAAGACTCTGTCTCAAAAGAAAAAAAAAAAATTTTACATTTCTAGTAAGTTCCCAGATGCTACTGATGCTTAGTCTGAGGACTTACACTCTTGGAATGACTGCTACAAATAAAATGAGACAGTTAAGTGATGGGTACATGGAGGTTCATGAACCTAGTCACAACGTATTTGCATACACTTCACATTTTTTTAAATTAAAAGTTAAGGCCAGGCGCAGTGGCTCATGCCTGTAATCCCAGCACCTGGGGAGGCTGAGACGGGCTGATCACCTGAGGTCAGGAGTTCGAGATCAGCCTGGCCATCACGGCGAAATTCTGTCTCTACTAAAAATAAAAAAAAAATTACCCAGGTGCGGTGGTGCACACGCCTGTAATTCCAGCTACTCGGGAGGCTGAGGCAGGAGAATCAGTTGAACCTGGGAGGCGGAGGTTGCAATGAGCCAAGATTGTGCCACTGCACTCCAGCCTGGGCAACAGAGTGAGACTCCGTCTCAGAAAAATAAAAATAAAAAAATAAAAGTTAACAAATTTTTTTTAAAGAAAGAAAATTGCTTGATTTTATTATTCACTCAACTTCAGACATTATTCATTCAACTTCCTTGAGGATACAAACCATGGCAGGAGCTGAAACATCAACAGCTACCCATACTACTGCTAATAATTCAGGTTCTCTTGGTTCTGAGAACGTCAGCAAAAAATGCTGAAAAGGCTAACCTATAACATGTAAGTAGTTTCTCATTTATTATCTTGATAACTTCACTTGGCTGATTCAAATACATATGGCTACACACCATAAGCTAAAGAAATACCTCCTAAGAGCCTGTTAGATGTCAGGAAAGCAATAAAGGGCAAGCAGGGAACCCGAAGTCGGCCCTAGGGTGCCAGGAATAAGGAAAGTAATATAAAGAATATGGCATGTGGCTGGGCATGGTGGCTCACGCCTATAATCCCAACAACTTGGGAGGCCCAAGTAGGAGGACGACTTGAATGAGGAGTTCAAGACCACCCTGGGCAACATAGCAAGACTGTCTATACAAAAAAATTTTTAAACACTAGCTAGATGTGGTGGCATATGCCTGTAGTCCCAGCTACTCTGGAGGCTGAGGTGTGATGGCTTGAGCCCAGGAGTTCAAGGCTTTCAGTTAGCTATGATCTTGCCACTGCACTCCAGTCTGGGCAACAGAACAAAGACCTTGTCTCTACCAAATAAAAGAATATGAAGGTAGTTGTCTACCCTATTACGAAAATAATTCCAAAATGCCTGCATAACTTCTTGCAAATAACAAATATATTAATAATAAGCACATTCGAAATGAGTTTTTCCGTCCCTGGCCAAAAAACAACAAATACACCAGAATATTAACACATGAAGTCTAGTACCATGTAGTTCAGGGGAGACCTCTCTTACATTAGGATCTAATGTTAACATGTAAAGCATAAATCACACATCATCATGATTATTCTTGTAAGCTGTACACAAGGTACATCTGAGCTGAAGGGAGTCAGTGACTTGAGGCTCACCCGCCACTCTGCAGTGGCCCAGCTGTATGTGGTGGCACACTGGCATACCACATGGGAAGCACTGGACAAGAGGACCTTAAGATCCCTTTAAATGACAGAATTTGATGACTTGAGTAACACACACCAGCATCACATGATTCAGTTGCTCTTCTTAAGTCAGGGGCTACTCAAGTTGTGGGGAAATAACAGGTCCATTATCTGTCCCTGAAGGATGCCTTACCATTATTTTGCAGGGAACTGAATGTATTTGTGGAGGATAGGCTCAGAGCAAGTTTCAAAGGAGTTTCATAATTCTGGGAAAATAAGGCCATTTGTACAAAGTCTAGCACTGGCAAGAGGCCACGAGAACAGAAAAAATCCTTATCTGTCTGGAATGCTTCTGAGAGCTGGTGGGAAAGGTAACTCGCTTGCCAAAATGAGATCCACAATCCCTTCTTTTCCTATATTCTATTTCATAAGATAAAAATGTAAGGCAACTGAAAACATTTTGTGTGATACTTACAGAAGAACTTTCTAAAGAAACAGACCGGCCGGGCACAGTGGCTCATGCCTGTAATCCTAGCGCTTTGGGAGGCCAATGCCGGTGGATCACCTGAGACCAGGAGTTCAAGACCAGCCTGGCCAACATGGCAAAACCCCATCCCTGCTAAAAATACACAAATCAGCTGGGTATGGTGGCAGGCACCTGTTATTCCAGCTACTCAGGAGGCTGAGGCAGGAAGAATCGCTTGAACCTGGGAGGTGAAGGTTGCAGTGAGCCTAGATCGCACCGCTTCACTGCAGCCTGGGTGAAAGAGCAAGACTCTGTCTCAAAAAAAAAAAAAAGACCGACCATACTTACTCAACTCTGAGAAAGTCAATTAACATTGATTTAAAACCTCTATATTGCTACTAGCAGTTCTTTCTGTGATCAATACTACTTTAGAGGATTGATTTCTAAGAGGGTTAAGAGGGAAGAGAAGCCCTGAAAATATAAGATCATAATATGATTTAAAAACTTAAGAACCAATTTATACACAGCCAGAATGAAAAGACGGTTGTGAAAATCCTAACTACTCAGGCTTGGTCATTATTAAATTAAAGCAGTGGTTCTCCAACAGGCCAACTTTGCCACTAGCGAACATCTGGCAATGTCTGGAGACACCTTTTGGTTGTCACAACCAGAGGGTGCCATTGGCATCCAGTGGGCAGAGGCCAGGGATGCTGGTAAACATCCTACAATGTACAGAACAGTCCTACACTACAGAATTATCCAACCCAAGTGTCAAGAGTGCCGAGGTTGTGAAACCCCGCATTAAAGTTACACACAAAAACCCAAAGGCCATTCGTTGATATCCAATTGTTAAAAATCCCTAAATAGTCCCAATTATTCTCTGATAGGGAAACTTAACATGCTGTGGCTTTTATCCAGAACATAGTATCCAAAATAAAAACTCGCTTTGGAGTGAATTTGCAGTTATATGGGCTTTGGTCTCAAACAGCCCTAATGTCAAATTTCATGTGAGTAAGCTGGGCACTGTGGCTCACGCCTGTAATCACAGCACTTTGGGAGGCTAAGGCGGGAAGATTGCTTGAGTCCAGGAGTTCAAGACCAGCCTGGGCAACACGGCGATACCCTACCTCTACAAAAAAATACAAAAATGAGCTGGGTGTGGTGACGCACACCTGTAGTCCCAGCTACTTGGGAGGCTGAAGCGGGAGAACTGATTGAACCTGGGAGGTCGAGGCTGCACTGAGCTGTGATTGCATCACTGTACTTCAACCTGGGCAACAGAATGAGGCCGTCTCTAAAAAAAATTTCACGTGACTCTGGGAAAGTCACATAATCACTTGAGACTACCTTTCTTTTAATCATAAAACGTGAACAATGCCAGTCTTAGAAGACTGTGGTTAGGATTCAAGGAAATGGTAAAGTGATGATACTGTGGTACCATGGGTGGAATGGGAAATTCACCAGGGCAGAGAGGAATATTTTAAATTTTTCAGGGGAACACAGAGATACTACTCAACATCCGTC